AGTCCTCTTCTGGACAAACTCTGATTTGTTTTTATGGTCAAACATAACAAAAACATTGGCAGAGTGGGAGTCTAAGTAAGACATGTCCCAGTGACATTTTAAGAGGAGGAAACACTAACAACGATTTAAATACATTCAATCATATAGGGCATTTGAATAACAGACATCGAAAATTTAAAAAAAGAGTGATGAAGCTGTAGTGTTATTTTATTGGTATTGATATCAAGCCTGATTTTCACAATCAGTGAATCCCTATATGAAACTACTTGTTTGTTTGTTCTATCCTGTATATAAATGGCTGAAAACTCATCTCTATAAATGGAAGACTTCCATTTGACTTGGCATTTTATATATTCAGTGTTTGGTTTTGAACACTGTAAACCTTTAATTTAGTGTCAGACCTGCTTTAGTTTGTGAAACTCTTAAACAACAGTGCAGCATCGACTTAGACAGCATCGTTCTTTCAACTTAACGTCAGTTTTCATAATGTCTGGGAAGGTTTGCAGTCATCCACTTCATCATAACTCAAAGCTTGGTCCAAAAGGCAACCTTTACCAAGTCCATTTGGCTTTTTGATCAAGCTTGAAATTCAGCTTTCATTTACTTATGAAAAAACTCTGACCCAGCAGACAGACAGAGACCTAAACCTGACAAGGTTTCTGACTCACTGATGTAAGATTCTGGCAGCAATCCAGCCTAAACCTGCAGTGACCCAGATAACAGCTGTGGATATTATCCTGATTTTGGGGTGTTCTGAACCTGAGCTAAAATGTCATGATGTTAACAGAAAGCCATGTTATGAACAGCAGCATGAGACAGCATAAAGAGACTGCCTCTCTATAAAGTACTTACAGCAGCAACATAAGCTGCTGGCTGATATTAGATATTTGTTTAATATCAAATATTCATACACTTTCATTTACCTCTAATATGTCCTTGCTATTTTAAAACATTTCATATCATTGTATTTTTTTTAAGCGACTGCTTCTTTTAAAATCAAATCAATCTAATGGTTGTATTGGGTTTCGCTGAAGAGTTTTAGTGTCTAAAAAAACCATTTCAGAGGCCTATTGCCCAGAGACTGTTTTTGGACAGAGTGGACACTTCCAAGTCACTATATGAGCATTGTTAATGCATTTTTGCTCAGTGGAATTTGCCAGAAAAGTTTATTTCTTCTATTATATTTTCCTATAGACACAAATACACTTGAATGACCTTGAATCCTTTACAGGTCAAAACCATGAGGACGTTAGTGGAGCGTTAAACTAAGTCAGCTTTCATATGCCATTCATTTTCATTATAGTTCATGTACCATGAAGCTTGTGTAAAAAAAAAAAAAAGACTAAGTGAATCCTTTACTCAAAGTTACATCCCGGAGGACCAGGTCAGAGTGTGAATTGTTTGTTAAAGACACAGTTTAAAACATGTAAAATAAGTTGTCTTTGGAAAATTGACTTATTTTCTTCCTGCAAAGAGTTAGATGAAAAGATGGACAGCATTGATCCATCAATAACCTCAAGCTATAGCATCAGCTAGCTTAGCATAATGTTATAAAAAACTGGAAACTACCTGTAGCACTGTCCAAATGAAATACATTCTGCCAACCAGCACCTCTAGAGTTCTCTTGTTAACTTTTTAAATGTCATTATTTTAACCCATCCAAAACTGATGTGTATATAAAGGATACTGTGCCATTTGATTTTGGATTATTTGTAAGGCTTCTGCTATGAATAGTTGCTGTCATCCAGCAGAAATTCTAGGACGTGGTCATACCCGGTAAAGAAAAGTTGTTTAAATTGTATTTATATTGTTTCCTTTGCCAAAATCAGGCTTGTTTTCCCTTTGTTATGTTTAAAACTAACTAGCCGCTAGCTGTAGCTTTATTTGAACAGACACTGTATAGCATTGAGAACCAATCTGTCCATCAAATCCAGATATTCAATAGGCACATTTCACACACACACACACACACACACACACACACACACACACACACGTCTTCGTCTCTAATCGCATGCTTATGCAATTCAGGGAGACAAAAGGGATATATAAATAATTAAAACAGCTCCACCAAATCAAATCTCATTATGGAATATGTTTACTGTGTGTGTATTTCTCTCTTCTGTCATGGAGGGGTAATCAGCAGACAGAGGGAGAAAACAGAGGGGTGGGATGAAGGAGACATGATAGTGGGATGGGCGGAGAAAGGGGAGGAGCCTGGAGAGCCAAACGTCCTTAATTTGTTTAAGCCGAGGGATTTTCAGATTACCTTTGGCAATTAATCTTGTTACATAGCTGTGCAGCGACAGAGGGATGTCCATGGGTGAGGGCTGTGTCAGTGTAAAAAGGTCATTGTGTGTAAGAGATAGTAAACATTAATGCCCGTTAAAATCTTTATATTTAATGAGTAATATTCACAAATGGCCTGATTGATTGTTAAAACTGGTCGTTTTTTTTTTTTTTTTTTTTTTTATGTTTTAACAAAGTCCACAAAAAATAACTGTATGGGGTTTTCGATGGTTAAATGTAGTGAATTCAATAAGCTTTTTCTCATGGAAGGAATTCTAAATATCACAGTACAAGAATAAAGGATGTAAAGATGAGATGCTTCAGTTTTTGTTCTGTTACCATTACGGTCAGAGTGAAAGTCCTTGTGTATCAAAGTGTGTGTGTGTACAAAGGGTTTTTGTATCCTTCTGACTACTCAAAGCTGTTTTAAACCGCAGGTGTCGCTGTAAGTGTCACACCTACCCATTTACAAACTGATGGCAGAGGTTGCTATGTGAAGTGTCCATCCGTATTAACTAATCCCATTTATTCACACCACAGCGGCTGTAAATTGGGGTTAAATGTCTTGCCCAAGGACACATTGACGCGTGGCTGCAGGAGCTTGGAATCAAACCCCCAACCTTTCAGTTGAAAGACAACCAACTCTACCACTGAGCCACATCCGAATCATATGGATTAGTATGTGAGAGTAATGAGCTGCAGGGCTCAGTTTTGTTCTTTCTTTGACACACTGCCATCTTGTGTCGGGGCGAGGTTAAGATGAAGAGTGGATTAATTAAGACAAAAATGAGGGCCTATGGCGTTCAACATTGTTATCCAAAAAGTTTGTTTGCAAGATTTCCAAAGAGCTCACATCACAAGTATTATCTATAATGTTGTCACAGTGTAACAGTAATATTGGAGCTCAGTCTCTCTTTATCCACGCATTATTTAAAGGTGGTATAGGCTTAGTGCTAAATGTGTTATCACAACAGATAAAAAAATATTTTCTTCTGTTGGACTTTTTAACCAGATACAGATAATGTTTATTATCTCTTTGAAAATAAACAAAATTGTTACTTTTTTTACCGCCAGTCGTAGTTCATTTGCATCCAATAACAGTTTGTTGAACTAGTTGCCTTAAGTCTTCAAACCATTGGTTTCAGAAAGGACATAATTCCACCTGACTGTACATAGTTAAAGTAAAAGAAAAAGCATTAGAATGAAGTTTTAATTAATTAAAACCCTTTATAAAGCTATAGGTGCAATTCTGTTTTAAACCGCTCCTTAAACTTCCTGTGACTCCTTATGACAACAAAATGGTCAAGGGACCATATGTGTCAATTATTTTTTTTTAATTTCTGATGTGTTCCACCAATCATCATTTTTTAATCAAATATTAACACTTTACAATTTGTATCATGTTCGACTGATTTGAATTTTTGTTGTGCAATGTTAGATGTAAAGCAAATAGTGAAACTTTTCCTCCAGTGACCAGTGCACCTGCTCCTGCATCCACAAACTCCTGCTCTCGGCAGTGGCTTTTAGATTTTTGCACCTTGCAATTTGCTGGGCTGAGTATTATTATGAGACAGCTGATAAAGTTGTTGTTGTTTGGCATGGGGGCAAGAGCTCATATTAATATCTAAATTAACATGGAGGGGATTGAACTTCTATTTGGTCTGTTTATGTGAAAGACACATTCATTTTTCATTTAATGCATTTTTAGAATAAGCATGTTTAAATCATGGAGCAAGCTATGTTTTAGGCTGGGATTAATGTACGGTATAACCCTCCTATTGAAGTTTTACATTTTTGCTTTAAGATACACATTATCAATTCACCAGTATTATGTCTTAGTTCATCATACTTATTGTTTGGTACAGTTATAGCTTTCGACTGATGATGCCTTTTTCTTGCAGAGAAGATAGCGAGCTGTAAAGAGTGGAAGATATGTCATTTGAACTTAACTTGTATGTGTCCATCCTAAGCAAATGATTCTTGGGGACTTGTGTTGGGAACCAGAGAGTCGCGAGTTTGCGGCCCAAGTCTGGAAGTTGGTCTGGTAGCTGAAGAGGTGCTAGTTTACTTCCTGTGCACTGCCAAGGTGCTCTTGAGCAAGGCACTGAACCTCATCCCACAGATCATGATCGCTTGCTGTGGGCGAGCCCTCACTCTGACATCTCTCCATTAGTGCATTTCCATAGGATACTGTTTGTGCATGTGTGTATTTCGGCCTATGAGTGTGTAGCAGAGTGTAAAACCGAATTTCCCCTCGCTGGATTAATAAAGTATGAATTACAAGCATTATTATTAAAATGTACTGGGCCAAACCCAATCTTCCATATGAGAAATGACTGATCCTACCACTGAGCCATTTTAAATTTCATGCTAGGATTTAGCTTCTAGTTGAGAAATATCTCTGGAAAAAAAGCATTGTTATCTGTGAGAACTGCTGGTGTTTGTGGGATGCTTGAACTTCACTGTAAATATACTGTATGGTGCACGGCAGGAGATTGAATCAGGGATGGAGAGTGAGAAAGGATTACATGGATTATTGCCAGGTGAAGGGTCAAAACAGATAGAGCTTTTAAGGACACATCTATAGAGGGAACAAATGTGACCCAGGTTCAGTGTTTTTGCGAAAGTTAAATGTCTCCTAATTTTTTGATCGAAGATTAAGAATTCACTGACTGTGTATCTTGTTTGTCCTCCTTTAATTTCGCAGAGCCATGCGACTGGTAAGTGTGGCGGGTGCCCGCCTCCGCAGGGCCGCAGAGGAGGAGGAAAAAGAGAGGGAGCCCCCACCTCCTGCACCCCCCTCACACCACTCGAACCACCAGTTTGCCAGCATGAAGAACAAGTTCTTTAACGAGCTCACACACCTGCCAAGTGAGCAAACATACACATCCATTGATGCAACATATAAACCCCAAATGAACATTCACCTACATATACACCATCATCGACCTCAATCACTCCGTTCATCTCTAATTGAATTCCATTTGATTCATGTCATCATTCTGTCCTTTCTCATTTCTTCACATGACCACTCTGCTCTGTCCTCAAGATCATAAACTTAAAAGTAAGTTATTCTCTTGTTATGTTGTTTTTCCTGTTCAGCATAAAAAAAAACCATATATGTCATATCATTCATCAGACTCTCTGCCATGAGAGTAGAAGTTTAACGGGAGCGTTAAGAAGACAAAACCTTGACCAGCTTAAAAGAAAGTTAGGAATAAAAAAAAGGAGAAAACAACTCACACAATCACAACAATTCAAGTCATAAATATTCTCCTGCCTGGAGGAATTAACCATGGCCCTTCAGGCTGTGTTACCACGAGGTACTCTCTGACACTATTGTTTTAATTGACAGAGGAACATCTTGCCCTGCGAATAATTCTTAAATTAAAAGGATTAAAACAAATGCAGTCTAGCATCATTCCCCACTTTTTGATACAGTATGTTTGAGATTAAGCCCCAAATTTAAAATGGCTAAAATAAAACATATTTTATATAATAATGACTCAAATGGCAATGTGAAAGGGGGATAAAGTTATGGACCTACAAAGGATATACTTTGGAAGGGACAACAAATTGAGCAAAACGATAATTACTTCTTTTACAGATCAAAAACCAACGCATTGGTCATTTAAATAATTATTGGATTAAAATCCTCTTTGAATAAATGTATCCGTTATAAAATGTTTATCCTTTCAGAAGTTGTTGAGGATTCAGTAAACCAAAGTCACACTGACCTAACAGATAAATGAACGTCCTTATCAATACAGCCAAGAGGCTAGCAGAGAAAGAAAAAAAGCCAATTTCTTCTTCTAGGGCTCATTTTTAACCATGGAACCATCTTTATTTTTATGACACCATTATTGATCTCAAAGTGCTTTTCTCCAATGCCCTAAAAGTCGAGGTCACCTCAGTTTAACCCCTCACTCAAGGTCACTGCTGTTTCTTATCAAATGGTCCAACATGCCAACCTTGGTTTTACTCTCTTCCTCCAGTGCCCATGTGGGCTGTGGGAGCCATTGTGGTTGTGGTCCTTGCCCTTATCGCCTGCATGGGTTTCTGCATCTACAAGAAGTGCTGCAACAAGGGCAAGAAGCCCAAGAAAGTCCGTGAAAGGAAGGGTGGACGAGGGCGCAGAAAGAAGGACAAGGATGGAGAGGAAGGGGAGGAGAAGAAGGTAAAAAAAAATGTGTCGAGGAGTGTGATCGAGAGTTTTGGCAGACATTTTCACTACATACATTTCTCAAACTAGCAGGGTAAACAAAGTTTCACTAATCAAAAACAATGCAAGTTTGAAAATGACAAAAACAGCAGCCAAAAGTAAAAAAAAGTTTCCATAGTTTGATTAAAGGTTTACTTTTGCCTTTTGAGCGATGCACTTGTTGCCTTCAAGCGTTATCTTTACCACAAGCCTGTGTGTGGTAAATAAAGAACTGGAATTGTTAGCTAGTTAGAATAGCTTACTTCAAATAGAGGAAACTGGGTTTGTCTGAAGGTAACAAAATATCAAGGCTGGTAAGTAGATTTTGTCACCTGTTGACACAGCCACAATACATGTTTCCCTCCTTTTCCAGACTCCATGATGACCTTACTTGCTGCTAGCAGTAACATCATGCTCAATGTAAAGGTATAAGCATTGATCGTCTAATATTACTCTTGTTATTTTATTTCTCAAAATGTCAAACAGTACTTCAATGTCAGTTCAAACGATACATTTTAGAGACATGCATCAGGATAAGAACATGGATGTCTTTCCACAGGCTGACAGATGCAGTTAGGAGCTGCAGCAGCGCTCCCTGCCTCAATGTCCACAGCTGTTTGGCTTTGATCCAGGTTAATGGATAAAAATGACAGCTTAAATCTCTTTGTCTATGTGTTACTCCGCCAGCATCCGTCTGTGACATCAACATATAACTTCATTAAATCAATTAAAGCGCGGGCGATATAAACTACTGCAGCAAAACCAAATTAGCTTGAATAACAATGTGTGTAATAAACTACACGTCTATAAACCATTGTGTCTTCCAGGATGGAGAGGAAGAGAAAGAGGAAGAGAAGGAGTCCTTAGGGAAATTGGAGTACTCACTGGACTATAGCTTCACTGATAACCAAGTAAGCACATACAGAGTTTATGTGGTTTCATTGGTCTAAAATTAAACTTGGATTATGGACTCAAGAAGGCCTGCAGTTTAACTAATCTCCCCTTCCTTCTCCAGCTGATAGTTGGTATCATCCAGGCCCAGGACCTACCAGCCATGGACATCGGTGGGACCTCAGATCCTTATGTTAAAGTCTACATGCTGCCTGACAAGAAGAAGAAGTTTGAGACCAAAGTCCAGCGCAAGAACCTGTGTCCGGTCTTCAATGAGACTTTCACCTTTAAGGTCTGTACATAAACACTGGAGATCATGCTGACAAATAAACATGAAAATTAAAAGTGTTCATTTTAAACTTCTGTCCCTCTCCAGATACCATACAGTGATTTGGGTGGTCAGACTCTGGTACTACAGGTGTTTGATTTTGACCGTTTTGGTAAACATGACGTCATTGGTGAGATCAAGATCCAAATGAACACAATAGACCTCGCGCAGCCAATACATGAATGGAAGGATCTGGTTGGAGGAGAGAAAGAGGAGGTACTTTTTTTGTCCATAAAAATAGTTCTATAGGATCAAAATACATTTTTGCCAACACAAAAGCATGGTCCAATTTGACAAACTCATATGTTTTTTTTTTCTTTACAGCAAGAAAAGCTTGGTGATATTTGCATTTCACTTCGTTATGTCCCCACTGCTGGTAAGCTAACAGTTAATATCATGGAAGCCAAGAACCTGAAGAAAATGGATGTCGGAGGACTGTCAGGTAAACACACTAACTTATTTGTTCCAAAGGCTGTCAGTCAATTAGTCATTTGGTTCACAATGGCTCTCCTGATCCAGTAACTAATATCACGCCTTTTTCTCAGATCCCTTTGTTAAGGTGGTGCTGCAACACAACGGAAAACGACTGAAGAAGAAGAAGACCTCAGTCAAACAAAACACTCTGAATCCTTACTTTAATGAGAGCTTTAGCTTCGAGATACCATTCTCCCAGATCCAGGTTTGTGCTTTTCAGTTTCAGTTAATGTCCCATTTACTAGTTCTACCTGATCATAACAACTTAACTTGGGCTAGCAGCAGGTCTCTAAAAGGGAAGATGTTTGTCATAGGGACAGAAACATCTAAACTTAAAAGGATAGCACATTATTAAAGGGTCTATTTCTGTGCTGTAGAAAACTACATAGAAGCATTTACAAACTCACTATTCTCCCGTGTCTGAAGGATAAGCACAATATAAACTCTGAAAATGTAGGTGGCTGATATATCCAAACATTTAAACACTAGTTTGGGTCAAGTGCTAAAAATGTCTTCCTAGATTCCCTCTTTCTTTAAATCAGTGATTATGGCACACCTTGTTATAAAAGTAAAGCCTTCAGCCGAGCCCTAATTACCCATATGACATTATACAAGCTTTTTATGCCTGGCTGAAGGGTACATGGAATGTTTTTAGTCTAAGAAAAATATTCCCTAAACCACTTCTTCTCATAAGCCAAATGGAAATATGAACATGCAGAAAAAATTGTTCTCACTACGACTTCTTCTCGTCTGTTTTTTTCATCCACAGAAAATCCAAGTGCTGATCACCGTGTACGACTACGACAAGCTGGGCAGCAACGACGCTATCGGAAAGTGCTGGATCGGCTTCGGTGCCTCAGGCGTGGGGCTTCGCCACTGGTCAGACATGCTGGCCAATCCCAGGCGTCCGGTGGCCCAGTGGCACTCGCTGTGCCCAGAGGAGGAGGTAGATGCTGCTCTGAAGGCCCCAATCCGCTAAATATACTCTCACACACATATTGTTTACCATCATCTGCATAGAGGGGTATTATTTCATCATAACACAGAACGAATGACTGCTAACTTGAATAGTAAGTTTTGATGTTTTTCAGTATCGATTTTGTAACATTTGATATTGGGTTCTCTTTGTACGAATGTGTGCTTTATATTTTTTGCATACATACCTTAGAAATACATGAAGCGAAATTTGCATGTAAATAGCTTACAAACTTTGATGGTACAGGCTAACTCCAACAATTGACTATTGCACTTACATAGTTAGACTACTAAGAAGACAATTTAAAAAGAAAAACCTAATTTCAAGTAGAATATTAAGGTAGAATTTAAGTACCCTTAAAAAAAACCCTGAAAACTAAATCATTGGATCTCTTCATCTTTCACATCTTTCTGCTCCTAGTTCATAACACAGGCTTCATGTTTAAAATCAAATATCTCTAGTCCAGCCATAAAAAGTGCAAAGATTTATACCGCATCTGTTTTATTTTTTCCTTTAGTTTTCTTCTTTGTAACCTTGGTACCTCTCTTATTTTCCAAACAATGTAAACTTGATTTGTCCTGGGAAATGTATTGTATTTGTTTTTTGGTCTGTCTTCTTGTGTCTTCTTCTGTACATGTATTTGAATGAGTGGAGACTCTTCCTGGAGTGTCTATTGAGTGTGTCTATTGATATGATATGTGTGTATTATAAAGCTGTTTGAAGTTTTACCTTTGGTTCTTATTGTGTGATTGTAAATAAATAGCTGAAGAAATGAAACCAAACAACAACAGATGGTTAAGCGGATGAATGGATGAACATGAATACACACGGAATTAATACCATCATGTGCAAACATGATAGCTTTTCTTTTTGCACACTAGCAGAAAGTATCTGTCTCTGACACACACACGCACACACACACACACACACACACACACACACACACACACACACACACACACACACACACACACGGTTAAATATGACACAATCTTTAGAAAGATCCTTTTGAATGATTATATGTTTATGATATATCGTGAATACATGAGAAGATTGTCCTCTTTTGTGTATCACTGATAGTGTCAAAGTAGCATCCAGAAGACTTGATCTGTTTATTGTAATTTTATAAATGTAAGTGATCCCTCCACCTGTGATTATATTAGTCCCATTGATCAATTTACATAATGAACGCTTGAGCTTTTTAAACTGGAAAAAATTGTGGTGATCACATCTCACACCTCATTGAAAAAGGTGATTGTAGTTACTGAGGACCAGGTCAGTGTATGTTTTTGTGCTGATCTGTTGCAGTAAGTGAAAGACTGGATTAACAGTGTGCCCTCTTTAGTCTCACGCACTGATCCAAACATGTGAGGCAGGAATTAAGGAAGGGAGTGGAGGGGGGAGGGGCGTTTACAGGGAACATAATTACAGCAGAAAGGAGAGAAGAAGAAATAGAGGGAAAATAATCTCTGTTCTCAAGAAGACTAAAAAAATGAAAGATTGCTTTTAAAAACTGTCTTACTGTAAGATAGTAGGTACCACATTCATATTTCACAGTGAGGTGCAATTTCTATTCAGCTATCACTATAAACAGTTGATCTTTCTTTTTCTGTCTGTGGTAAACTTTTTTTTAATGACCATAAACAACATGTAGACATAACATTTGAATTTGATCTCATGAGAAATCTAAGGATAAACAATGTGAAAGATGTTTCTAAAAAGTTTGTTGGGACTCAGCCTTAAGTCTGTTTGAGTGGTTTCCAGTGCTCTGTGTGTTTAGTGTGTACAATATTTTACATCATGATGTTCTGCACTCTCATCAAAAAAAGCAATGAGCATGTTTTTCCACCTGAGGGAGCTCTTTACTCTAGTTTTATGTTGATGACAACACTGACAACAGGGCTATAGTTAGCTGTCAGTTGATGGTGCTGTTCCTTTTTACAGCAATAAGGTAACTGGTTCCAATCTCTGCGGGTCAGGGCTCTATCTGTGGGATATGTTTTAGGTTGGCATGTTTTCCCCACGCATGTTCTCTCCTGGTATTCCAGCTTTCTCTCAAATCCAAAGACATGCTTCCCAACTATACGCACTGTGCCTGTGATTGATTGGTGACCTGTACAGGATGTACCCCACCTCTGACCCAATGACTGCTTGGATCTGCTTCAGCCCACTTTGACCCTGAGCAGGAAAACAGATATAGACAAGCTAATGAATGGACAACACTTCAACCATTTCTTGAAATACACAACAAAAAATACATTATGATACTGCTGACTAGAGGTGGGGTAAAAAATCGATGCAGTATAGTATTGCAATATTTTGTGTGGCGATATTATATGGTCTCATGACGGCCAAGCATCGAAATTTTAAATTTTTAATATGTTATTCTAGATATTCTTTTTTCATTTTTAACTGCTGAAGGGGTTGCATAATTCATTTTGAACAAATTACATTGTTAAGAATTCATGTTCAAGTTCAATTAGACTGAAATACAAATATAAAGACTGAAGTGAGAAGAACAGACTGAGAATTTTATCTTATTTGAATAAACAGTTCTTGATTTAGTTTAGTGTAGTAGACATAATATGCAGTTAAAAAGCTTAATCGCAATATATTGTATCGCAATCGTCAGCATATTGCAAAATGTAAAAAATCGCAATAGAATAGTATCGTTTCTCGAGTATCGCAATAATATTGTATTGTGGGGACTCTGGTGATTTCCACCCATACTATTGAGTGGGTTAATGTGTCAACTGAAAGTGCTAGAGCAGTGGCTCCATCTCTATATGGTTACATATACAAACCAAACATCCGTTCCCAGAACAGACCAATCAGAAATTGTCTCTGCTTCTGATTCATGTCTAGTCAAACATATCTTTACCTAATACAGGCATGGTTTGATACAGTGGCTGTATGTCATTCAGACATTTTATTACAGTGAACAAATAAAGTAGCTGCAGCTGCGGATGAGTCAAGCAGCAGTATGAAACCAACTCAACAGGGTAGTATTTCTAAAAGAACTAACAACTAAAGATTTTTGTTAATAAGGAACAGGACTGAACAGGACTTTGTACAAGTTGAACCGACAAACTGGTCCACAATGACAGCACTTTTTATTCTATTCTTTTTGCACTTTAATTGTATTAAAAATGAGCAAAGTTCCAAGTAGTTTGGACATCAAATATGCACATTTTTTTCAGGTTGATTCTCATTGTTCAATGGCCAGGTAACCAACATCAGATAAATTATTGTTCTTGTGCAACAAAAATAGAAAACACAAACATCTGAAATGTAAGGCAGAGGTCACTTCCCCACGTCTTTTCGTTTATCTCTACTCATTCTTTCATTATCTTTTCATGTCTCTGGCTCTCTGCCTACAGCTCACTCAGCTTGTTACATATTTTATGTTCCACTGAACCCCAAGTTGCTCTTGCTGCTTTGGCGGTGGTATGAATGCATATGAATGGAATTAGTTCATACTGATTGACACTTTACATAGCAGCCTTTGCAGCCTATTTGACAGCCTGTACAATGTGAGAAACTAGACTGTAGCGTACCCATATTAATGTTTTTCAGAAGAAGAAAAAAATGGCTTATGGATAAACAGTTCCGATTTTAAAAAACAATGGAGGCAGGTGAAAATTTGTGTTTGGACATTTTTTAACTTGATGCAACAATAAATACAGGTTTCAGTAAAACACTTTTCCCCCTTATTTACTTCTATGACTTTTTGGTTATACTTACTATCACCCACCAAATAAACACAACAACCCAAAAAGAACATTCCCTCAAAGGAATGTATGAAAGGGTAAAATCCCATCATTTAAACCCTGATGATGTGCTGTCAAGGATGAACCCTGTTGATTTGTAAAATGTCATTTTACTAACCTGCTCCTCTGTTTTTAACAGAATGAGCTTTTCTCTTTTGCATGTATGATTGTTTCAAACCTTTCTCTTAGAGCACACTAGCTATTGTTGCCAACTCACCTGCAGTTTGATTGCCCAAATGACATCACATATTATTACAGCATCAGTGCTGTGATCAACCCATATGGAATTATTACCATTTTTCATTTATTTGGACTTGATATGTGTGTCTGGTAAAGTAATATAGCACAGTAATGCATCTGGTTTTATTATCAATACATTTTATCAAGAAACATTCAACATCTTTTACAAACACAGAAAAGGCCTAAAGAGCAACTCTGACACTAGAGGACTATGAAGAGGATAATGTAAGCTTACTCCATCCCTACATTGTCACAGAACTATTTATTATCATTGTGCCTTTGTTATCTTGTTATCTTCTTCTGCCCTCTTTTACTTCCAGCGTCCGCCCACCTTCCCTTTTCCATGGACCTTTTTGCTGCAGGAAGGAAGAGAGAAGGAAGGATGTCACAGGGACTTTATTAAACAGATCAATCAATCTTAACTTCTATAGCGCCAAACAAAACAGATACAAATATGATCTCAAGATACTTTACAAAAGATCAGGTCAAAGACCTTACAAATTGTAAGAGTGAGGCCTTACTCAGATGTCAGATTTTCATAGTTTGTAAAAATAGCTACTCACAATTTCTGAGCATGTTGGATCCTGTTCAGCAGCACAATGATCTGCAATGTGCAAAAAAAGGTCAATCAAACAACAAAGATCATCCAATTATTAATGTATTTGCGAGGCCTCACATTTCAGAAGTAATGATCACATGCTTGACGCTCTTTCTTGCTTAATTACCAAAGTCGTTGTCAAAAAAGTAAATGAAGTAAAGGAACAGTAGATGAGTTTTCCATAGTAAGGAAGTTAGAACTAAGGTCCTTCCATTGGATTATTTACTGTTCATGTTGTTTGTGACCATAGCAGTACCTCATATTTCTGGTGTTTCATGTACTCCATGTAGTCAAACTTCTCAGACTCCAGCTGGTAGATACAGTTCCACATCTCCTGGGCCCGTTGCCTTGAAACACAAATTTAGACAAAGGTGTAAGATTGTTACTAACAGGCAACTGCTTCTAAGTCAGTCTTTCAATTCAAGAACACAGATAACATAGATAGAGAGTTAGCATTTAGCATTTACAACAGGATACAAATATCCCCATAATGATATTTTCCCATTAAACACAGGAAGCCACTGAAGATGTCAAACATATTGATTAGTGTAAAGTAACCAATAGGACTGATTTAAATAAATCAAGTGGTGAAAAACTAACTGCCTGTTTGAAGGTCTGGCACACCGGCTGGTGACTGACAGAATGAAAGGATGGATCTAAATCTTTAAAACCTCTAAAAGTTTTTAATTGGACAAAAAGCTAATAAACAGCCCAGAGTGTAAGAAGAGTCATCTTCATTTTTATATTTGCCAAAACTCTAGGATATCATCATGAATTCTTACAAAAAGGCCACATACTGTCATCGGTCATAGGTCAGGCACATGTGATACAAAAACTTCCACAGCTATTTCAATGTCATGGGAACTTTAAAGCAGCTGTAATACATCATTATTCAGCTGTCGGAATATCAAAGACCGACTCACTTGAGCGCGTCTTCTCTCATATTATCAATTGTCAGCGGCTCTCGTCTCTCAGCCAGAGTCTTCTTCTTGATCTCTCTGCCAGTCAGACGCTTCCCCTTCCTCATCTCAGCCTGGGACACAAGACACACATGGCCACCAGAAATCC